CCATAGAAACTTTTGGCCTCATAATTAAATGACGAATAACTTTCGGACTCATGTGCTAACATACAGTAAAGTACAAGGTACATGAATAAATCTAAAATCGGAGACCCAAAATTTGGACAAATCGAGGCAGTAAAATTCATGTGAATCAATATTCGGTGCTATATAATCAGGCACACCCCCAAGTGTAAAGATTCAGATTTTTTCAATAATACGAAACATTTTGTATGAAGTTAAGACAAAATTAGACTGTGAATGGTAGAAGTATCTGTAGACTCATTCATAAAAATATTTTTTTATTCAAAGTTAAAGTGATAATTTAAATTTTTTAAGTAGTATAAATAAAAACAAATAATTGGCTGAATGTTTAACCATCTAACCTAAAATTACTTTCTTCTTTTGTAGACTTTGGCCTCACAGAATCGTAGAAAACAACTTTGAAACTTACAACCCAAGCTAAAATTAACTTAATAGCAGTTATTTTAATAACAGATAAGAGAAATAAACCTAAAAGAAAAAGTCATAATTGTGTTATTAATTGTGAAGTAACTATTAAAAAAATCTAAAGATTGTGATGCCAAAAGTTACTTTAAATCAAATAATGGCTTTCATCCATAGAAACTTTTGGCCTCATAATTTCGGACTCATGTGCTAACATATCTTAAAGTACTAGGAACATGATTAAATCTAAAATCGGAAACCCAAAATTTGGTCAAATCGAGGCAGTAAAATTCATGTGAGGCAATATTCGGTGCTATATATTCAGGCACACCCCCAAGTGTAAAGATTCAGATTTGTTCCATAAGACGAAACATTTTCTATGAGGTTAAGACAAATATTGGTGGATTGAGAAATAAATCTAAGAAATAAATTCATAATGATGTTGTTAAGTGTAAAATACCTATGAAAAAAGATCTAAAGACTGTGATGCCAAAAGTTACTTTAAGTCAAATAATAGTTTTCATCCATAGCAACATTTAGCCTCATAATTGCATGTTAGGTAACTTTCGGACTCGTGCGCTTCGTATATGTGAAAACAGGTAATTAACCCATCATTCCGGGCACAATTTTGTTTTTGGAACGAAGTACTAGATTAATAAATTTAAAATTGGAAACCCGAAATTTCAACACAAGCCGGTGAAATTCATGAGGTGTATTATTTCACGATATGGATTCGTAAAATTTAAGGCACAATCTCAACATTCAAATTGTAATTGATAGACTCCGGCTTTATCTAGTTAAGTAATTTTATCTTTGTTGTTCAGTAACTGATTTCTGGTTGAATTAATTTTTATAAATGAAATATTAACATTTTTATTCACTCTATTTAGTATGTTTTTAATTTTGTAAGATAATGTTTCAATAAAATCCAGAAAATAATATCTACCTATGTCTTCCTTAGTATCATGGTCCGTTTTGAACAACGAGCAACATTGTTTTTTTTTAATTTTGTATCTTATTTTGTCAATTAGATTGTGGATTAATTTTACTTTAAAGTCATTATTTATTGCAATTTGTTTTATGGACTGAAGTTCTTTATTATAGTTTTCATGGTTTAGATTAGAATTGAACAATATTTCAATTAAAGATGCAAAAGTTGATATTTTATGAATCCATAGGTGGTTGGAAGAATTGCAAATAATGTTGTCTGTGTATGTTTTATTGGCCCAATATCTTACAAAATTAAAAACATTCTTGGAGAAATATTAAACACGAGAGGCCAAAAGTTGCTATAAACGAAGTCATTCTTTTCATCTTTAGTACACTTTGACCCCATATGGATTCATACAAAACAACTTTCAGGCTCACAGTCCAAGGGGACATTAAATTAGTAACCCTTGTTTTAAGAATACCAAATCGTCTTTCAAATATCGGCGGATTGAGAAATTAATAAATCAAAGGGACAGATTTATAATTATGTTGTTTACTGTGGAGTATCTACGAAAAAAATCCAAAGACTGTGATTCCAAAAGTTAATTTAAATCAAATAATAGTTTTTATCCATAGCAACATTTGGGTTCATAATTACTGCTCCATTAAAATATTAAACTGGTTTTTCAAATTTCGCTTGTTTCTTGGATAAAATAATATAAAATACGAGAGGCCAAAAATTGCTACAAATGTAATTAATGATTATAAAAGAGTATAAGTAATTATTTTCATCTTTAGTACACTTTTGTCACACAAATTCATACAAAACAACTTTCAGGTTCACAACTCAAGCTAAAGTTAAATTAATTGTCGTTGTTTTAAGATTATCAAATTGTGATTCAAATACCGGAAGAAAGAAAAACAAATCTAAGAAACAATTTCATGGTGATACTATTAACTGTAAAGTACCCATGAAAAAAATCTAAAGAATGCGATATCAAAAGTTACTTTATATCAAATAATACATTTCATGCATAGTAACATTTGATCTTATAATTACATGTTTCGGAATAATGAGCTTCATATCTATCATTTCAAGTACAATTTTTGTTTTTGGAAATGAAATTCCAAGTGATTAGAAAATAAAACAGAAGCTCAAAAATGTATGGAAACGATGCATGACGTTCCAAGATATTAATTCCTAACATTTAAAGCACACACTTAAGCAAATATCCAGATTGGCTCCATAAGTAGAAAAATAATTTAAGAGATTAACAAAAACTTGTACTGCTAATTGTAGAAGTGCCTGTACACACAACCATAAAAGTAAATTTCTTACTCCAACTTAAACTGGTATTTTAAAATTGACATGTACGCCTTTCTTGGAGAAATATAAAAAGAGAGGTTAAAAGCTGCTAAAAATAGTAATGTTTCTTTTTTCGAAATCGCGCAGTAATGTGCTTTTTCTATGTTCAAAAATCGGCACAGAAATTAAATGCGGTGTTGTCATATTAGTATTATCTACCTCCACAATTACATTTTACAAGGTTATAAATTGTTTTTCGGTTTAGCAGTAATTCTATACTCTTTGATAACCCTTTTTATTAGTTATTAGAAACACATCCGGTTTATTAATTTTATAAATATAATTTATTAACTAAATTTGCGCGTAATCTCGCAACGTCGCAACCTTGCATGGCAACAGCGGATTTCTTGAAGTGCAGCGACATTCTATGGCAGCGAACAATGTGTATCCACATAACCTGTAATAAGTTTTTGTTCGGTGCAGAAACAACCATGGAAATCATTATATGGAGAATATCTCATTTTGCATACGAGTATTTCGCTGAAAAAGAAAATTCTGTGAAATCAACATTTTGGGCTACATAGTCGTTGTTAAAGTCAACTCTGTTAATATAAAACAGCATAGATATAATCTAAGTACACCAAGTTCTCAAGCAAAAAATATAGGTTATGTTTCCCAGAAATCAAATATATTTACAAGAGAAAACTTACGAAAATTTTTAACAGAGGCCCGTGATTAATGTACCTAATGTCAAAGGTAATCTCAAAGAAGGTCAATCACATTGTCTATAAAACATAATGTTTTAGATATATTTTTTATTCGAAGTTTCAGGAGTATGAGGAAAGGAAGAATTTGAACAATTTTTTTGTATCTACATAATCTATAATAAGCTTTTATTATTATTACAGAACAGATTATTAGCTTACATGCCCATTTTAAATGAAAGTATGAAGCATACCTCTTATTTTTCGGCACTTTTAATATTTTTGCTTGCAGAAAGATCTGCAGCAATTGCAAAATAGAGATGGATAGCAATAATAACAAGCAGTTTACATGCATTCGACCGAACTTGCAAAAACTGGCAGATAATATATCAAATTTATTACCTAAAAACTCAGCCACAGTTTATGAAAAGCGGTATGAATTTTTTTTTTTTGCGCAGAAACAACCATGCAAAATATATGGAGAACACCTCATTGCATACGAGTATTTCGCTGAAAAAGCAAATTCTGTGAAATCTTTAACACTTTGGGCTGCATAGTCGTAGTTAAAGTCAACTCTGTTAATAAAAAACAGCATAGATATATCTAAGTACACCAAGTTTTCAAGCAAAAAATATAGGTTACATTGCCAAGAAATCAAATATATTTACAAGAGAAGACTTACCAAAATTTTTAACAGAAGCCCGTGATTAAATGTACATGATGTTAAAGGTGATCTCAAACAAGGTCAATCACATTGTCTATAAATCATTATGTTTTAGGTTTATTTTTTATTAGAAGTTGTAGGAGCATGTGGAATGGATAAATTGAAAAATAATGACGGCATTCAAGACAAAAACGATACGCTAATAATTAAAATTCCAACGTCTAAAACTGGCAAAGCACGAGAATTTACAAATATGTGTAAAAATATTTATCCAATTGAAATATAGTAAAAATACCTAATTTTAAGACCGCACCATACACCAGACAAATCATTATTTATACATTACATTTGGATAGTGAATGCAGCAGCAGCTGCATTGTACAAATATACCTGCAAACACACTGTAACAAATTATGCAGACACCTCTTTTGACTAAAAGATATATATTTAACTTTATCCATACGTTGTCAACTTTGTTAATAATTGCAATCTCTAACTTCATAAGAAATATGAATAATCTACTTTGGTGTTTTATAGTAGTATTAAATGTTCATAGAATATAATTGCACTTACTACGAAGTAAGCTTTCCTAGTTTTAAGTTGTTTTCTTTTCTCTTTGATTATCTTAATTTCTTCAGCCTCTATGTGGCTGTTTTAATTCCAAAAAATTGTTTCTGAATAAACTGATTCATACCACTTTTTCTTTCTTTTACTCGAAAACAGTTTAAACTATAACTCCAAATATTTACCTACTTTACAACGTGTCAAGCATTCGGTTGTTGTAAATGATGCAACCATAAATACAAATTTGAACACTGATATGACAGGTTTGAGGCTAGGATGTGGTTTTCATATACTCCCATTACTTGTTGCCTAAATCTGGCGCGAGGCCAAAAGTTATTATTGACGTATATATATATATATAGTAAAAATCAAATTAATTTATATACATTTACAGGAAATATTCTGGATCGCCTAGGTGTGAAGAAACGACGTCTCATCGACTTCACGCCTAGCGAACAGAAGCTTTATGGCGAAGCAAAACGCCTGCAAAGGCAAGTGGGCCGTCTCCAAAGACAAGCCCACAAAAGAAAGAACGCTTTGCACTCCGCAAGAAAACTTCTGCGGGATCGGCGGTTTGTTGAACTGATAGAAGGTCTAACTCCCGTCCAACAGCGGTTTTTCGAAAATCAGATTAGAAACGTAAACCGTAAACCAAAAGGCAGAAGTTTTACGTTTGAGGAAAAGGCAGACGCCATTGCCATTTGGAAAAATGGCCCTAAAACGTATAAACTTCTGTTCAAAATGTTTACGTTGCCGTCTATTGACACTCTGAGGGCAACCCTAAATAGAGTTCCAATAGAACCGGGTATCAACAAACCCATATTCGAAGTTCTCGGAAAGCAAGTAAGTCGTAAAATGGACCCCAAGTACAACTTGTGTACTCTCATCTTCGATGAGATGTCCATTCAGCCTCACCTTGACTACTTGCCTTGTGAGGACAGAGTTGTGGGTTTTGAGGATGACGGTACAACAAGGACGAAAAAAATTGCAGATCATGTTTGCGTATTTATGCTAAGAGGAATTTTCGGAAGGTGGAAGCAACCTGTTGCTTTTGCTTTTTGTAAAAACTCTATGCCTGCCGTAAACATTGTCCGCTTTTATAAAGAAATTGTGAAAGAGGCAACAGCGATAGGTTTAAACATCATTGCTTCCGTTTGTGATCAAGGCACTACAAACAGTGCTGCAATCGATATGCTTTTGCAAGACACCAAACGACGTGCTATTTTGGAAAATGGAACAGGAATTAAAGAGAATGTGATAAGAATTGGTGATCACGAAATTATCCCTCTCTTTGATCCTCCTCATCTTCTAAAAAGTATGCGGAACAATCTTCTCACCAAAGATCTGCTTTATTTAGATAAAGCAGGTGTGGAGAGAAGAGCTTCTTGGAGTTTTTTTGAAAGGGCATATGGATTGGATCAGATGCTGGGTGAAAATGTAAGAATGATGCCAAAGATCACCATAGACCATGTGAAGCCGAACTTAAGAGGCAAAAAAATGAAAGTTCGTTATGCTTCACAGGTCTTTAGCCGTGGTGTTTCTTCTTTCATGAATTTCTGTTCCGACCGGAGATTTGGGGGATCCTTACCACTTGATGCTCAATACACTTCCGATTTTTTTCTCTTCATGGATTCTGTCTTTGACAGCGTAAATGGAGGATTCGGAGACTGCGGTGGTAAGAACTTACGTAAATTGGTAGGAGTTAATAATTACCATCATTCTTGTTGGTTAGAAGGAAAACGCATGTTCAGTAATATGAGATTTGAACCACGTAAAGCTGGAGATCAAGCAAAGCCCCCAGTTTTACAGGGGTGGTATCGCACTTTAAATGGTTTTATGATTATCAAGGAAACTCTAAAGAAGCTTGGCTATAACTTTTTCCCAGCAAGAGCTTTTAACCAAGATCCTTTAGAGAATTTTTTTGGTCAATTAAGACAATATGGAGTACGATATACAAATCCTACTTGTCGAGCATTCGTGCCATTTTATAAATCACTAGTGATGAAGAATTTTTGCTCCTATCATTCTCGTGGATCTAATTGTGAGCAAGATGACGACTCATTTATGGTCACAATTAGAGAGTTTCTTGGTCTTCAAATAAACCGAAAGTGTATCGAAGATCAGTGGAAGCCGCCACCAGTTCCTGATAGAGTATCTAAGGACAATATTTATGATCAAAACATCATAGGCTATATTGGCGGATTTTTAGTCAAACATATGCCAAAACCACTTGACTGTGAAATCTGTCGATGTAACTTAATACATAACGGCGTTCCAGATATTCAGTATCATGGCCTGGTGGAAAAGAAAGAGTACGATGGTGAAAACAGACGGTTACAATACACGAATGTGGAGGTGATTAAAACTCTTATTAAGATTTATAATCACCTCCTCATTCTTGTTCCGTCTGCTATTCACCATTCTTCTCTTTCTAAAAGGATAATAAGCCACCTGCGAATTACAATTGATTTTGATTTTCGGGAGTGTTTGCATACCGAAGAACTAAAATCTCAACTTTTTCATTTATTTATAAGAGTGTATATCTTTAGATACATGAAAAAATTGAGCAATGTAGTATTTGGTAAGGAAGAGCTTAACAGATCAATTCCACTGGAAGCAGAAATGAAACAATTATATTTACGTTTTAAAAAAATTGGTCTAAAGAGTTTAGACAGTACTTCCCTCGCTGTCGGAAACTTGACGACTGCATGCCTATTGTGTTTTTTTTCTCATTACATTTTTGTAGTGGGAATTTAAAAAAAAATTGCGATGACGTCATCAACATTTTTGCAAGGACACGTATATCAGTTGGGATAGATGTAGTGTAATACTAAGAATAAAATTATTATATTCTCAAATTTTCGGGAAAATGAATTGGGTCGTTTTGAATATTGATTTGTAATAATCAATAAAATAACGAAACAATTTACTCACGTATACGTATCAGAGGCAACTGAAAATCGTGTATGTATAAACATTCTTAATTTAAGATGACAGGCGTAACAGCATACGTGAGAGTCAAACAGAGAAACTGTAAACAAAACGACCATCGGTTTTATTGCTTCCACTTTCGCTTATTACATAAAACATTGGGTTTTATTTTAATTCTTGACGGTGAAATTCACAATTGGTTGATTATAAACATGTCTATTTCACATTCGCGGAACCAAGTGAGCGCATAAAACAAATGCAGGTCTGTAATGTTAAAGTCGATGTAAATAAGCGTGCTACCCTTATGTTTCAACCGAGTTTTTCCTTTAACAAATTTTGTGTCTACCAAATTGGGTTGGTTGGGGTGTAATAATAATAATAAGTGTTGCCTTTAATTTAATCAATAAAATAAATTGACTTCATTAATTTTTTTGAACCACCTCTTAAGAAAATCTAAAAAATATGAATGGAATGATAAATCACAAGTACAAACTCATCATATTTTTACTTCCCGAGCGTAAGCAAAGGAAGTATTGTAATCGAGTCCGTCGGCCGACTCTCTGCTTTTACGTTTTCTCGATCTTTCATGACCCCTAGAAGACGAAGAAATAGGTCTCCCATTTCCGTCTGTCTGTCCGTCCGTCTGTCCGTCTGCCGTCCCGGATTTTTATTAGACAGATAATCTCCGAAAGTACTGGACCGATTGTTGTGAAATTTTGTACTTATATTAGGAATATCATGTAGATGGTAAAACGCTAACCAAAATTTGTCTAATCATCCCCACCACTAATGCGATGACGTCACTTCAAAATTGTACATAGTAAATAGGTCTTAAATTGTATAAAATAACATAGTCCTACACATGTAGTTTACGACTCCGAATTCAGTTTTTACCCGAAACGTCCAGATTTTTGGAAAAAAAATCAAAATTATAAAACAACATTTTGCAATTTAATTTTGAATCTGCTAACCCGAATGTTTTGAAATGTTGCAGATGTTTTAAGGCTCTAAAGAGCATCATAAATCTTTAGTCAAAATATATTTGGTTATCCCCTCCAAAAACTTGATGACGTCAGCTCAAAAGTTTGCCAAATAAATCCTATCTAAAATGTACAAAATATGATGCGTCTGTGCTTGTGATATATCACTCCATTCATATTTTTTGGATTTGCATACACAGGGTGACTCAAAAAAAATTAATGAATGCGCAAAATTTATTTTACTGATTTACTCATTAACTACAAAACCGAATGCTTCGAAATCTTGAAGATGTTTTAAAGTTATCATAAGCATGGTAAATTTTTTATCAAAATGTATTTGGTCGTCCCTCCTAAAAAATTTATGACGTCACCACAAAATTTTGCCGAATAAATCCTATCTAAAATGTACAAAATATGGTGAGTCTCTTCTTGTGATTTATCATTCCATTCAAATTTTTTCGATTTGCATATACAGGGTGACTGAAAAAAATTAATCAATGCGTCAATTTATTTTATTGATTTAATCAGGAATTACATAATCGAATGCTTTGAAATCTTGGAGATGTTTTAAAGTTACCATAAGCATGGTAATTTTTTTATCAAAATGTATTTGCTCTTCCCCCCTAAAAAAATCGATGACGTCACCCTAAAATTTGGTGAATAAATCATATCTAAAATGTGAAAAATATGATGAGTCTGTACTTGTGATTTATCACTCCGTTCATATTTTTTCGATTTGCATATATAGGGTGACTGAAAAAAATTATTGAATGCGTCAATTGATTTTATTGATTTAATCAGGATTTACAGAACCGAGTGCTTTGAAATCTTGGAGATGTTTTAAAGTTATTATAAGCATGGTAAATTTTTTATCAAAATGTATTTGCTCATCCCCCCTAAAAAATTGATGACGTCACCCCAAAAGTTTGCTGAATAAATCCTATCTAAAATGTACAAAATATGATGAGTCTGTACTTGTGGTTTATCATTCCATTCATATTTTTGGATTTGCATATACAGGCTGACTCAAAAAAATTAATGAATGCGTGAATTTATTTGATCGATTTAATCAGGAATTACAAAACCGAATGCTTTGAAATCTTGGAGATATTTTAAAGTTATTATAAGCATGGTCAACTTTTGTTCAAAATGTATTTGTTCATCCCTTCTAAAAAAATTGGTGACGTCACCCTTAAATTTTGCTAAATAAATCCTATCTAAAATGCAGAAAATATGATGAGTTTGTACTTGTGATTTATCATTCCATTCATATTTTTTAGATTTTCTTAAAGGGTGGCTCAAAAAAATTAATGAAGTCAATTTATTTTATTGATCAAATTAAAGGCAACACTTATTATTAGTATTACATTGGACCAACCCAATTTGGTAGACACAAAATTTTTTAAAGTTAAAACTCGGTTGAAACATAGCTGACTAGGTTCCGCGAATGTGGTATAGACATGTTTTAAATCAACCAATTGTGAATTCCACCGTCAAAAATTAAAATAAAATCCAATGTTTTATATAATAAGCGGAAGTCGACGCAATAAAACCGATTGTCGTTTTGTTTACAGTTTCTTTGTTTGACTCTCACGTATGCTGTTACGCCTGTCATCTTAAATTAAGAATGTTTATACATACACGATTTTCAGTTGCCTCTGATATGTATACGTGAGTAAATTGTTTCGTTATTTTATTGATTATTACAAATCAATATTCAAAACGACCCAATTCATTTTCCCGAAAATTTGAGAATATAATAATTTTATTTTTAGTATTACACTACATCTATCCCAACTGATATACGTGTCCTTGCAAAAATGTTGATGACGTCATCGCAATTTTTTTTTAAATTCCCACTACAAAAATGTAATGAGAAAAAAAACACAATAGGCATGCAGTCGTCAAGTTTCCGACAGCGAGGGAAGTACTGTCTAAACTCTTTAGACCAATTTTTTGCATTTTAGATAGGATTTATTCAGCAAAATTTAAGGGTGACGTCATCAATTTTTTTAGGAGGGATGAACAAATACATTTTGAACAAAAGTTTACCATCCTTATAATAACTTTAAAATATTCCCAAGATTTCAAAGCATTCGGTTTTCTAATTCCTGATTAAATCGATAAAATAAATTCACGCCTTCATTAATTTTTTTGAGTCACCCTGCATATGCAAATCCAAAAATATGATTGAAATGATAAATCACAAGTACAGACTCATCATATTTTGTACATTTTAGATACGATTTATTCGGCAAACTTTTGAGCTGACGTCATCAGTTTTTTGTAGAAGATAACCAAATATATTTTGACTAAAAATTTATTATGCTCTTTATAACCTTAAAACATCTGCAAGATTTCAAAGCATTCGGTTTTGTAGTTCCTGATTAAAACAATAAAATAAATTTACGCATTCATTAATTTTTTTGAGTCACCCTGTATATGCAAATCGAAAAAATTTGAATGGAATGATAAATCACAAGAAGAGACTCACCATATTTTGTACATTTTAGATAGGATTTTTTCAGCAAAATTTTGTGGTGAAATCATAAATTTTTTAGGGGGGACGACCAAATACGTTTTGATCAAAAATTTACCATGCTTATGATAATTTTAAAATATCTTCAAGATTTCGAAGCATTCGGTTTTGTAGTTCCTGAGTAAATCAGTAAAATAAATTTACGCTTTCATTTATTTTCTTGAATCACCCTGTATATGCAAATCCAAAAAATATGAATGGAGTGATAGATCACAAGTATAGACTGATCATATTTTGTACATTTTAGATATGATTTATTCGGCAAATTTTCGAGCTGACGTCATCAAGTTTTTGGAGGGGATAAGCAAATATATTTTGACTAAACATTTATTATGCTCTTTATAACCTTAAAACATCTGCAAGATGTCAGAGCATTCCGTTTTGTAGTTCCTGATTAAATCAATAAAATATATTTACGCATTCATTAATTTTTTTGAGTCACTCTGTATATGCAAATCCAAAAAATATGAATGGAGTGATAAATGACAAGTACAGGCTCATCATATTTTGTACATTTTAGATATGATTTATTCGGCAAACTTTCGAGCTGACGTCATCAAGTTTTTGGAGGGGATAAGCAAATATATTTTGACTAAACATTTATTATGCTCTTTATGACCTTAAAACATCTGCAAGATTTCAGAGCATTCGGTTTTGTAGTTCCTGATTAAATCAATAAAATATATTTACGCATTCATTAATTTTTTTGAGTCACCCTGTATATGCAAATCCAAACAATATGAATGGAGTGATAGATCACAAGTACAGACTCATCATATTTTGTACATTTTAGATATGATTTATTCCACAAACTTTTGAGCTGACGTCATCAAGTTTTTGGAGGGGATAAGCAAATATTTTTTGACTAAAGATTTATGATGCTCTTTATAGCCTTAAAAGAACTGCAACATTTCAAAGCATTCTGGTTAGCAGATTAAAAATTAAATTTCAAAATGTTGTTTTATAATTTTGATTTTTTTTCCAAAAATCTGGACGTTTCGGGTGAAAAGTCGATTCAGAGTTGTAAACTACATGTGTAGGACTATATTATTTTATACAATTGAAAACCCATTTACTATGTACAATTTTGAAGTGACGTCATCGCATTAGTGGTGGGGATGATTAGACAAATTTTGGTTAGCGTTTTACCATCTACATGATATTCCTAATATAAGTACAAAATTTCACAACAATCGGTCCAGTACTTTCGGAGATTATCTGTCTAATAAAAATCCGGGACGGCAGACGGACAGACGGACGGACAGACAGACGGAAATGGGAGACCTATTTCTTCGTCTTCTAGGGATCATGAAAGATCGAGAAAACGTAAAAGTAGAGAGTCGGCCGACGGACTCGATTACAATACTTCCTTTGCTTACGCTCGGGAAGTAAAAAGGAAGTAGAACGTTTGTATAATTTTTCATTTTGCAGGATTCATCAGCTTTGTTTTGTTCATGCCATAAGAAAGTAGTGCGACATTTTTCATAACGTTTATGGTTCTATAATGAAGTGCACTTTCCGCTACCATTTTTATACATTTGATAATTACTGCTACAGTATGAAAATTATTTACTTTCATAGTCTAGCAATAAACATCAAATGTATCAAAATGATAGCAGAAAGTGCACTTCATTATAGAACCATAAACGTTATGAAAAATGTCGCACTACTTTCTTATGTTATGAATGAAAAGTGCAAGGGCAGTTTGCGTTTCTACTGGTTACGGATGCAGAGTTTAATTAGTTTTGTATTTGCACTGTATGTTCTTTTGCACGTATTCTATCAGTTTCATCAGTTTTGTTACCAGTTTTGAACGTTTTATTTTTAAAATGTTATTTCATTTTACAACCTGTTCAGTTTGACTTTTGTTTACTTTTCAAATTTTCTTGTGAGATGTTTTTAGGGTATTATTATTGTTCTCTTTATTTATTTATCTATTTATATTTTTTATTTATTCATTTATATTTTTTATTTATTTATTTATTGTATATTGTATTTACATTTACAAATCAATGTTACGTTTAAAGTTTAAATATATATCTCTAATATTTTATATATTTTTTCATACTGTTTGTGTTTTTATGTGTCAGTTTCAAAACGCCTAAATGCGTTTTGAAACTAACATATAAAATGCACAAACTATATTTTTCCCTTCAATTATAAAAAAAAATCACTTGAAAAATTTGCTTTCAAATTTGGCGCCAATTTTAGTTCCCGACCCAGCCAGTAGAGGCTGACAGTGTGAACAACATAATAAGCATTCACGTTCGGTAGAAGTATAGCCACTAGATTACATATAGTAGCGTCACCTGGGTCTCCTGGCTGGTCCCAAATTGTGTTGGTTGCACTGAAGTAACTAAATGTCAGATGTTTTGGTTGTGTTTTGTGTTGTCTACCCTGGTGTAAACAACGTAGCACAAAAAGTCAAAACATGTTTTGTTGTCAAAACATGTTTTGTTGTCAAAACTCTAAAGATCATTTTGTTGTTAATTGCAAGTGCGTGTGTTTGTTGTTCGTGTGGAGATTTGCGTTAAATTCAATAAAAATGCCGATTTGTGAAGATGGAAAAAATATTTCTAGTCCAGTCAAATTAGCGATCAACCTCGGAATGAGAGATAATAAGCTGAATTTTCGTATATACCTTCATTTTAGCGTTCTAAAAGTTGTCTCCAAAGTCTCATAAAATCTCGTGTCTGCGTCGTAAGTTATTCAAGGTCAAAGGTGAAGAAAAACAGTTTTTTGTGATTATCTCGGTTTCTATTGCTCCAATGATGTTAACATCTATTATCGTAATTGTAGAGCACAAAATTTGGGACAAATTTTATTTGAAACATTTTTTCATGCACTCAATCGTTTTTGAGATGGAGGGCAGTGAGCGCGCAGCGCTCATCCATACGTACTGTAATGCGATCAACCGTGAATATCTGTGAATACTACCTTTAATTTTGAATAATTTGTATTATTTATCAGTTAATACATTGCATTTAATAACATTTTACATATTTTTAATACATTCATTTAATGATAATGATACTTACCTACTTTGTGGAATTAAAAACTCTTTAAATGAAATACTTATTGTATGTATATCTTAATTTATTGAAAGTCGATTTTAAGTAGAAAAATAATTAAGTACTTTATCTTTCAAATGTGTAAGTTTTTATATATTAGATAATATATTATACTTGTTATATTATTATATATCTAAAAGTTATATTAATTTTTTCAAAGTAAAAATTTAAGGAAGTAAAACGAGTTAATGTATTTTAATTTTATCTTTGTTCAGTACCTGTACATTTCTTACGATTGAAATTGAATTGCACTGAAAATCTAGAAATCTTTAATAATTTAAAGAACACAAGTATAAATTTTCTTCTTGTTCACCGTCATCTTCTGGACGTTCGGGAATTTCTGTTTCATCGTTATCATCTTCGGTGCCCTGAATCGTTGTTTCCATACCTTCCAGTTATAATTATGACAGAAAAATAAGTATTTAAAACCTTACACATTTTAAAGATATAAATAAATTGAGATGTACAATAAATATTTCATTAAATGCGTTTTTAATTACACAAAGTAGGTAAGTATTATTCAATGAATATGTTGAAAATATGTAAAATGTTTAAATACAATATATTATATATATATATATATATATACAATTAATTGATAAATAATACAAATTTTTCAAAATTCAAGGTAGTATTCATAGATATTCACGGTTGATTGCCTTACAGTACGTATGGATGAGCGCTGCGCGCTCACTGCTCTCTATCTCAAAAACTATTGAGCGCATGAAAAAATGTTTCAAATAAAATTTGTCCCAAATTTTGTGCTCTACAATTATGATAATAGATGTTAACATCACTAGAGCAATAGAAACCGAGATAATCGCAAAAAACGGTTTTTCTTCATCTTTGACCTTGAATAACTTACGACGCAGACACGAGATTTTATGAGACTTTTGACACAACTTTTAAAACGCCAAAATTAAGGTATATACAAAAATTCAGCTTATTATCTCTCATTCCGAGATTGATCCCTTTTTTATCCTAAAATGACTGGACTATTCGAAACACTTTACATCTTCTAAATAACAATAACATTAAAAATGATCAAATATGCAATATGGTACTCAACAGTTTGGAAAAAAAAATGTTTTGTACCTGCGGCAATAACATAATTGAAAGTATTGTTAAATTATACAGGGTTAGTCACGAGAGAATTACTTCTGAAAATTATTTTTACGCAACCCAAAATACGAATACCGTGTACCACTTGATACTAACTGAATTTAAAATGGAATGCTTAATCCATGATTGCTGTGAGTTTGGCATCTCAGTTTGACAATTGTGGAAAATGAGGTTACGCGAGTGTCCATGGTGGTACCGCAGCCAGTCGGCAATCTTCTTCGGCGCCGCTAATAAATTTGTCAGTGTGCCTCTTGATCTTTTGCAACCGATTAATCACGAGAAAATTATTTCTAAAAATTCCTTTTACGACATTTTATTCAAAGGTTACAACATAAACTCAAACAAGTAAGTAAATAATTTAACTACTAATCTGTTGAAAATGTTGGGCATTTTGGGCGGATGCTACGGCTTTTTTGTAAATGGATGGTCGAAGAAGCCCAGATTTGCACTTCGATGAGGTTCTAGGTGACGCAGAGATGGCGAATTAACACATGTACATTAGCGGCGAACAACATTGGTAGAGCACTTACGGCTTCAATATAGCCCAGATTGATCTGACCGTATGTCGTCGATCCAATGAGGCTCTAGAGCCGAGTCAACGATGAAAAAAAATGTTAAAAATTAATTAACGTCAAAGTGACACTGCCAAAGTCAAAGCAATCATGGATTAGGCATTTCATTTTAAATTTAGATAATATCAAGTGGTAAAGGGTATTAGTATTTTGGGTTGCGTAAAAATAATTTTCAGAAGTAATTCTCTCGTGACTAACCCTGTATATAAGAAATAGGGTGTATTTTTATGTAAAAAAACGTAACCAAAATAACAGAACAATAGTGTACAGTTCAAAGTCTATGAATAAAAATAATAGGAGATACATATGCTTTTTTTTGCCCCATTTTCTTGGAGAGATTCATATACTACAACGTAGCACAGAGTCAAAGCCTGTTTTGTTGTCAAAACTCAAAACATCATTTTGTTGTTTATTGCAAGTAAGTATGTTCTGTTATTCGTGTGGAGATTTGCGTTAAAATCAATAATTAATATATATAAATATATTAACAATAACAATTTTTCCTGTTTTGTGTATCAAATTTTAATTTTACACAATTTTTAATTTAAAGGAGGCGCCATTTTTCGCCTGGATTTTAAGTTGGCAGCACTAGTGGGACCAGTTAGTGACCCGATGTCGCTACTATATGTAATCTAGTGGCTATAGGTAGAAGTAGCTGACAGAAATTTTTCTGTGGTTAAGTTGCAATCTTAAGATCACTAGAAATTAAAGATTGGTATCAACTGTCTAATTTTCTAATTCAAATGTCAAATCAGAATTGTCTGGAAAAAAACGAAGTTTTTCTAATTTCAACGCGCTTCGTCTGAAGAAAATCCTTCAATACAGCGTGGAAACAATTTCCACAAAAGTAGTGAATGCAATAAATACCATTCTAAACTTTTTTATTTTTAGAGTAAGTAAAATAACCCACAATAAAACTCGTGCCTTCAAAAGTTTAGAGACATTTATTCAATTTTCTCTTTTTTAAACAACTGTGTCTTTCAACATTACAAGTATTATGAGTGGATTTATTTTGATATCCTAAATTTTGTGATGGAACATAATCAGGATGGTCCAGGTGCAGGTTTACCTAAAAGAGCACTAATGTAGTAATTTGTTAGAAACTGTAAATCTAATAGGTAGGTACTGTACCTAAAATAAAATGATCCGAACAAACATAGGAATACTTTACTTTGGCTTCGTTAAATCCACTCGTTTCAAGGCTTTTAACCAAAGCTTCCGCCTTTTTCCCCATCCTGTATATATTTACCATTATTGTTGCTAATTGCTGCGAAAGGAATATAAAATTTATCCGCATTTCTGGTGCTTCGATTTGCGCAACCCACAACAGCACAAAATTTAGGCATTTTCACCTAAAATACAAAATATTATAATATTAAGATGCTAGTGTATTTAAAAAACATTGATGTACATTAACAAAGAATTAATTTGCAAAACAAATAATACATATAAGATGCCGCGAAGTTAACCTGTACATCACATTGGAAAACATTATTTTTTAAGCATATTCAAACGTTATGGTGCGTTTTACAGATATCTACACAGTCTAGAAACTGTAACAAACTTACCAAGCTATAAAAACACAGTTGACACACTCTCAAATTTAAATGAATTCCGAAAATATTAGCATTGACTCTTATGAGAAAACCGGCTACTTGTCAAACGCTGCCATCTTGATGACCTCGGATGACGTCAGTGTATTTGGCTAATATGACATTTCTTGTTGACAAAACCAGACAAAACGTTCACCGAAAACCTTAAAATGAAAAAGAAACTATGTTCTTCAAGGTCGGAGCACCTTTAGTGACGCTAGTGACCTCTTTATGTCGTTCCGTAAGCTCCCCATGTATTTCTTATGGAATCAGCTGAGACTTTCATAGCCCTGACAATTGACCAGTAAAGTGAATGACGCGCGAAATTTGAACTCAGTTCATAACACGAGACCCGAATTTCAGTTCCCCGTGTAATCCTTATGGGTGAAATCGAGGCGTCATTTTAACGCTTAAATTCTACCATTAAAGTAATTTTCTTATATATACCACTACTTGTACCATTAAGACTGATATTTTTACTATTGATCTTGATACCAACCACGAACGGAACCGGTGGTATTTAATAAATATTTGAATTCAACTTTTACCACTACATTTGCCTCGAACGTATGTCGCACAGTGGTTCATACTGTCATTGACTAATTGACTTCCCCCTCCACATAAATGGCTTTGATGTTCACATGCTAGAGATACGGCTGTGAATTTAAAATAATACTTAAAGGAGATCTCATATTTAATGTTTTCAATCAATTGCCAAATTTTGATTTAAGAATCATCATCAATCCCAAGCTTTTTTCTTTTCAAACTTTTTGGTAGAAAATGAAAAACTTAGCATCCGTGATTAAACCTTTCATGTACAAGTAAAAATCACTTTCATTTTAGTACGAATTGGGTCTGAAACACCCATTTAAAAAAAAATCACAATTTAAAGACCAATTTATTTCAAAACAAAAAAAAATATTCTACAACAAAAAATTGCACCGCCTAATGCAAACTCTGATTCACTTTTGGTGAAAAACTGACCCACAAACTGTTATATTAATGGACCATTTAAATAGTCCTCGGACACTAATAGTTCTTCGACACTGTGAAGTAGATTTTCTTCAGATCTTTCTGGTTCAGGGCCCAATAGCCAAAGCAGTGCTTCGCTCCCATCAGTTTGTCGTAAGCTTTCATAAAGTTGTACCTCAACATTAGCTGTGTTTAGGTTGACTTGGGGATTAAAAGAATTTTCAGAGATCACAGCTCTGACCTCGGCTGATTCACTTTTCTTCAGATGTACGTCCCAAGAACGCAAATTATTGGTCCAAAATACATTATAACGCCCGTGTAGGGCAGGTGTAGCCATATGGTGACATACAAATGCACCCGTTGTGGTTTCACATGTTGCCTCTCTTAAGGATTGGATTCTGGATTCTTAATTTATGGGGGCTGACCGCAGCCAGCCGGCACTTAGGCCTCGCCTTTGGGCCCATTGTACCTTCCCCAAGTCCATATCAGGGTGTTTTCCCGCTCCTCTACTCGTCAAGCCATCCAACTGCTTGAATGTACTTGAGTAATGCAGAGGGTGGAAACTCCCTGATATTTGCCATACTAGGCCAGATGTCCCCTAGTATGGATTCCCTGTAGGAGGCTAGGGCTGGACACTCACGAAGAATGTGCTCAGCTGTTTCCTCTTCTTCATTGCATCCACGACAGATTGGGTCTGTTACTACCCCTATCGTATGTAGATGTTTGTTAAACTGGTAATGTCCCGTAAGGAATCCTACCAGTTTACGCAGTTTGTCCCTTGAAAGTGAGAGATAAAATTTTGTCAACTTACGGTCTGGTGTCGCCATACAAGCTCTACTATGCCGACAGCTGCTCAACGTCGCCCATATCTGCTCATGGCGTCTATGGGTATATTGCTTTACGAGTTCGTTCGAGAGGGCGACCGAAGGCGTGATTGCCGGTTCGGGTCCCCAGAAGGGCATGCGCGCGGCTCGCTTCGCCATCTCATCTGCCCTCTCGTTTCCTTCGTTGCCACTGTGTCCTTTGATCCAACAAAGTTCCACACTATTCCTCTGCGTTACATACTTTAGCGTTTGTCTGCACTCCCAAACCAGCCCGGATCGAACCATACAGCTGTCCAGGGCTAGTAGTGCAGACTTGCTGTCAGTAAGTATGCGTATTGATTTGTTGCCGATTTCACGTTCAGCAATGATTCTAGCTCCCAGCATTATTCCCATCAGTTCTGTTTGTAAGACAGACGTGTGGGTGCCGAGAGGTACACTGATTTGTGCGTTCAGTTGTTCGGAGTAGATGCCGGCTCCTGAACCACTATCTGTTTTGGCACCATCGACATAGATATCTATGTCGGCTCGTCCTTCTGAATTATCATTCATTGATATTCTATATGTCTTCTCATATATTAATTTTGTGCCCATTCGGTCACAACCCATCCTCAACAAGGGTATTCTGTTGAACGCCTCCGTTAAGATCCGAGTGTGCTTCGTTGTGCGGCCTTGCTTGTTCCATACTCCCAGAGAGTGAAGTCTTAGAGACGTCGTCATTGCCGCTTCCTCTATGTAAAGGTTAAGAGGTGCTAAGCAAAGGAGAGTCTCCAGAGCCGCTGTGGGAGTGGTCCTCATTGCTCCTGTAACACTGAGACACGCCATTCTCTGAACGTGTTCAAGTTGCAGGGCTGTTGTTTTTTGTCTGGCTCTGGGCCACCAAACTAAAGCTCCATAGCACAGCATCGGTCTGACTATTGCCGTGTAGATCCAGAGGGCGATCTTGGGATTTAAACCCCACGACCTTCCCACCACCCTACGACATTGCCAAAGAGCCGAGCGTGCCTTTTCTACTTTATCATCTACATGCTTCTTCCAATTCAGTCGCCAGTCCAATACAACTCCCAGGTATTTGACTTCGTCCGAAAGTTGAAGCGTTGTGTTAAATATTTTTGGCATCTGTAGTGTGCCAATTTTCCTTTTCCTGGTGAACAGGATTAGTTTCGTCTTTTCTCCGTTAACGGAGAGGGTATGTCTGTTGCACCATTCCTCGACTATTTTTACTGCAGCTTGCATTATCTCACATAATGTATCTGCGTTTTTTCCTGTTAGCAGAATGACCAGATCGTCCGCGTATCCAATTGTGTGGTAGCCAAGATCATTGAGGCGTCGTATCAGGCTGTCAACGACAGTATCCCACAGTACAGGAGAGAGAACTCCTCCCTGAGGACATCCCCTGTCTACAACAGCCTCGATCTCAGTGCCACCTACATTAATCATTACTTCCCTATTCCTCAGCATACTGGCCACCCACCTACTTAGGGTGGGGTCCACGTCGTGCTTTCGTAGGGCTAGTTCTATGCTTTTGAAGGTCGTTTTATCAAACGCTCCTTCAATATCCAAAAACATTCCTAAGGTGAAGAGTTTGTTCTCCATCGCCCACTCTATACGGTTTACAACTGTGTGTAAGGCCGTATCGGTGGATCTTCCTTGGATGTAGGCATGTTGGTTCGGATGTAGAGGTTGCTTGCTCAAAGCAGTCTCCCGAATCTCTTTTTCGCTTAGTCTTTCTAGCGTTTTCAGCAAGAATGATGTTAAGCTAATTGGTCTGTAGGATTTAGCCAAGGTGTAATCTTGTCGTCCTGGCTTAGGTATAAAGATAACCTTTACTTTTCGCCATGCATTCGGTATGTAGCTGAAAGCCAGACACGCCCGAAGCATTGGCAACAAAATAGGGCGTAGTCTGCTCATTCCCCTCTGCAGGAGGGCGGGATAAATACCGTCAACTCCTGGAGATTTGTATGGGGAAAAGCTGTCCACTGCCCACTCCAGTCTTGCCTCCGTGACTACCTTTGCAGCCAGCGCCCAGTCCTTCGGGGAAGGTTGAGTACCGACTACATCCCTTTTGGAATGGGAGGTAGTCCGTGTGCTGCCTGGAAACATGGTCTGCAGCAAAAGTTCTGCGGACTCTTCTAAGGTGGCTGTAAAGGTGCCATCTTCTTTCTTTAGGAAACCTAGTTGATGTGTGTGGTCCTTCGAGAGAACTCTCTTCAGCCTTGCGGCCGAAGCAGTCGACGTTATGTCGCTGCAGAAGGATCTCCACGTTTCCCGTTTCCTCTTTCTTAATTCTTTCTTAAACTCTTTCCGGTGCTCTTTATAGGCTTCCCAGTCTTCAGTTTTCTTAGTGTTTTTTGCTCTATTGAAAAGTTTTCTTAGCCCCGATTGAAGTAGGCTGAGCCTTCGGTTCCACCATGGTGTACCTTTGCCCAGACCTTCCTTCTTTAGGGGGCTACTTTTCTCATACGCTGACATTAGAGAGTCGTTGATAATGGTCAAGGTTTTCTCTATGTCTTCTGTCGAACTGTATTCTGTTGGTATAGACTGCACGGAGGTCCCCAGTCTGTCGTCCAGTTCTTCGTTGTATAAAGCCCAGTTCGTCAGCCTAGGGTTCCTGTACGTCTTTATCTCCATGTCTATACATTTTGATGTATACATGATCCATCTATGGTCTGACACTGACGCCTCTTTAGAGACGTGCCATCCCATTATATATTGTGAGATATCCCATGTAGCCAGTGTAATATCTATTACTGACTGACTACGTGATGTTACGAAAGTTGGTTCGCAGCCTCGGTTGAGAATCTCTAGATTTGTTGATAAAAGATATTCAGCTAGTGTTCTTCCTCTATCATTAGTGTCTTTGCTCCCCCACAACAGACAGTGGGCATTTGCATCGGCACCGATGATGAGGTTTATATTTCCGGTATCACAGTGTTCCACCAAGTTCGCCATTTCCCATGTCGGACATGGTTCCTGTGCTCCCTGTGGTAAGTACACGGATGCTATTACCAGTTGCTCTTCGCCTCTACCTATGTTACACTTAACATTTACCGCAGTCACATCCCTGGAGCTGACCTGAGGTAGGAGAACGGCTTTAATTTTCCTCGGAATGTAGACGCATGTCCTTGGAGATTCTATTGTGGTACCTGAAACAACAGTGCCATTTAAATTGCTCAACCCTGCGATCCTGGATTTTACAATCCATGGTTCTTGGATTATTGCTATAGTGTTCTGCATCTTGTCTAGACGACGACACAAAACAGTCGTCGCCATGCGACAATGCTGCAGGTTAATCTGAATGAAATTTATCTGCTGCAGCGCCATCTCTGCAACCAAAAATCCCATAATTGTCCTAGGAGACACGAGGCACATGTCTCAGGCGGGCCTGCCCCCACTGGTAGAGGCTTCCTCCCCTGGGGTTTCTACCTCTTCCATAGGGGTCTGCCCTTCCTGAGCCGACGCCTCGTTCTCCTTGAGTTTCAGGTTGAAAGAGGACAGCATATAATTGATTCTGCCCTCTCTCTCCCTGATTATCTTGGCCTCTTCCATCCCAAGACCAAACACAAAGAGGTTGCCTGGAGAGGCAGCCTCGGGTTTGGCCTCGCGATGGAAAAGAAGCCATTTTTTGACGTGGGCCCATTGGTTCTGACCCTCCAGGCGGCGAAGTACGACTCCTGCATCCACCGGTGGTCCCGGTATCCACAGGGTCGCCCTCACCAGCCTTGGTAGCTCAGCCAAGGGGACCACGTTAAGTTGTGCGCCCTCCCACAAGGGTGTTAGGGAGCGCACTGTTTGTTGTAGCCATTTCAGGGACAACTCGTCTTCACAGGTTATCCTTAGGACTTCCCCTGTGTACTTCATGCCCCTGAAAGTGGCTGCTTGTCTACCCGATGCCAAGCACTGGTCCAGTTGCCTGTCCAGCGCTCCCATCAGGCCCTTTTGTACTATCTCCACCTGGCCAGCAGTCAGCTTACCAAGTGGATGCTGCACATCAATCACAGCTACACGGAGATGACTTGCAGCCGCCTCCCTGTAGCTCTGTTCTCTAGAGGTAGTCTCCTGCCTCCTCATCCTCTTTTGCTTCTCAGCTGCCGGAGGTGTGGAGGTTGAAGACCTCACTCTCTTCTTTGACCCTGAGGTCTTTTTCCCCGCGGTTTGTTTAGGGTTGGCTATCGTAGCCTGCCCTTTACCCTTGGGGTTTATCCCGGAGGAGGATGGACCCGGTTTCGGCGGGTCGGTATTCGCCGCCTCCGCCTGCAAACGAGCCTTCCTCCGCCTTTTTACCTCAGCCCCGCAGATTCGCTTCCTCCTAGGAGGCTGCGAACCCACATTGGCTGGGTTTTCTGTTTGAGGTGCACCCGAAGGCACTTCCTCAGTGGTTTTTTTAGTGTCGATTTCCATAATCTGGATTTTGATTTCGTCCTCCTGCGTCCCCACCCACCACGGAGTCCAACAAGGGGACGCCGAACTTCGACGTCAGGGCTAGCAGAAGGATATAGCCCCCAGGGAAGCTCATCCTGCAGTACGCAGCCTCAACTAGTGAGGCTACTCGTGCTCAGACTACACTTCCCCCAAGGACTCACCCTGTCGGCGGTCTGACCCGACGACACAGCCGATTGATCTGAGATGGGTTAGTCTCGACCTCCCGTTTTGGTGGAAATCCAGGCCAAAGAGGCGTGTTGCCCAGCCTTGGTGACACACTGCACAAAGGGGGGCCTCTCTTAAGGAATATCTATGCAAAATAAAACAAAATACCTCATAATTGTACTTGATACAGAATTTATCAATATACATTAACTTACCATTGGCTATTTCGCATTCTAGCTCGAATAAACTCTTCAAGCACATTTAATTCAGTATACCAAGTGACTTTCACTGCATTATTTGACTGCAAAGAATTTTCTCCGTTCACAATGCATTTCCGATCGTCAACAAAAAAAAAACTGGTAATTGCCCCTATTGTTAACACATGTCTTTCTGTCATTATTAATAACAAATACAATAAAACCAGTCCACAGACATATACAACCTAATGTGAACCAATATCACAGAACTAATATATCATCCAAAAATTGTGATTATGATTGTTGTGATGAAAATACGAAATCAACTGTCATATTTTGGGGCTTTTTCACGATCTAAACGTCACTAGCCCTCCAAAATATTCGCGTTCCTTTTCTGTTCAGCGTGTTGCTGGATTTTCCGTTTCACTCATGCGCAAGGCATTAGAAACGATGTACGTTACTTTGATGAACAACGTCAGGGCTATGAAAGTCTCAGCTGATTCCATAAGAAATACATGGGGAGCTTACGGAACGACATAAAGAGGTCACTAGCGTCACTAAAGGTGCTCCGACCTTGAAGAACATAGTTTCTTTTTCATTTTAAGGTTTTCGGTGAACGTTTTGTCTGGTTTTGTCAACAAGAAATGTCATATTAATTACGGGATCATACGGGATGTAGGGTCACAGTAGATCAGTAACGAAACTTCAGCAATATTTGCGGAACGGGTGTGACCTTGGGAGCCCGTTCCCGGGAAACACGAAGATTCAAATATTTCGTAGCATTCGTATGTGATTCATATAATACTAAGAATTGTACACAAAAATAAAAATGGGTGGCATGTACAGTTAAATCCATAAGGTTGTAACCACTCGTTAAATTGTAAGGTTGGCATTACAGCCAATGGTGTTTTTCACATGAACAGATTGGTAGCGGCGCATATGTCAAAATTTGACAATTACGCACGAGAGAGTTTTATTTAAATATCTCACAGTTTGTTATTAAACCATACCATTGAAAAATGGTACCGACACGGCATATTGTGGTAAATAAGCAGATGAAAATGGCACTTGCCAACTGCCACAATGAATTGAAACGTGCTTATCCCCAAGCATCCTCCCGAGAACTTGAATTCAAGCTTGTAAAAATCTTTTCAGTATGTAGTTA